GCCGTGAAGGGGGATCGAACCTATGCGTGCTGGATCTTCCCACGCACAAGCCTAAGTATTAAACCTTTGATCTAAGAGATGAAACCTAAGCACACTATTATCTCAAGGTGTTACGCGTGCATTGGGACGTTCTTCCTCCTCCTTCAGTCACTATGGTGGTATAAGTTTCTCAATAGTTTCTCAACGTTCGCAAGCACACGCCTTAAACCACTCGACCATGATGTGCTACACAGAAGCGCTACTGGTTATTTCATCGATACATCACGAAAATGGGATTTTTTTTTGTGGTATTTTGAAGATAGTGTTGTGTGTGTGGGGGAGGGGGGGGGGCGGGGACAGAGCTGCTATACCACACCAGTGTGTATATAGTTATATAATGCATTGTATCTGGGGGGGAAGGAGGGGGACCGGAAGCCAGAGTGTATTCATACACGTTAGGCTTTTATCGAGGTCAATGTATAATAGCATACACTATTATACAAATGTATAACCTCCCTTGTGCTCACCAAGAGAGACTTTTCTCAGCACTAAATAAAAAATATATATATAATGGGGGGGGGTGTGTTTCCTTGCCCCCCCCCCCTAGTTACCACTCCTGGTCGTTCTGATAGCATGATTTCCCATAATTTGGAATGCTGGATTGCCGCCACCCGCCTTCCCCCCATAATTGTGAATCACTTTATCCCCCATGATTTTTAACACTGAGTCACCCACCCCCATTTTCTTCCCCCCTCAACCCCCTCCCCCCTGCACAATAAACCCCGTCAGCCCTTTCACAGTCCATAAATTTTAATAGTGGATCCCCCCATAATTATGAACACGGGATTCCCTCCCCCCCCCATAATTTTGAACACCCTAGTTCCCCCATAATTCCTGAACGCCTGTCTATGCCGACGCGCTAAATGCAGGTCTCCGTCACCTGAAGGCGTCGTACCTGTCGCGCAGGTGACGACCAGAACTCATCAGCGCTAATGACTCGTCAACTCATTAACACATCATTACGCTCAGGTGCGATGGGGCACGGCTTAAGGGGGGGGGGTGAGGTTGGTGGGGGGGGTGTTGTTGTTGTTGGGTGGGGGGGGGGTTGGAGGGGGGGGGGGTTTGGCGGGGGGGGGGGGGTGTCGGTGCACCGAGGCTTAATTACAGGTGTGTGTGTGTGTGTGTGTGTGTGTGTGTGTGTGTGTACTCACCTAATTGTACTCGCCTAATTGTGCTTGCGGGGATTGAGCTTTGGCTCTTTAGTCCCGCCTCTCAACCGTCAATCAACTGGTGTACAGATTCCTGAGCCTACTGGGCTCTATCATATGTACACTTGAAACTGTGTATGGAGTCAGCCTCCACCACATCACTGCCTAATGCATTCCACCTGTTAACTACTCTGACACAGAAAAAGTTCTTTCTAACGTCCCTGTGGCTCATCTGGGTACTCAGTTTCCACCTGTGTCCCCTTGTTCGTGTACCACCCGTGTTTAACTGTTTACCGTTATCTACCCTGTTAATTCCTCTGAGAATTTTGTAGGCAGTGATAGGCCTGGTGGATAGCGCGCAGGACTCTTAATTCTGTGGCGCGGGTTCGATTCCCGCACCAGGCAGAAACAAATGGGCAAAGTTTCTCTCACCTTAAATCCCCCTATTACCTAGCGGTAAATAGGTACTTGGGAGTTAGTCAGGTGTCACGGGCTGCTTCCTGGGGTGTGTGTGTGGTGTGGGGAAAAAAAGTAGTTAGTAAACACTTGATTGACAGTTGAGAGGCGGGCCGAAAGAGCAAAGCTCAACCCCCACAAACACAACTAGGTGAACACACACACACACACACACACACACACACACACACACACACACACACACACACACACACACACACAAACACACCCACCCACCCACCAAAGGGACAGTACACAATGAAGGGGAGCTGCCTATCTGTGACGAGGCGAGAAAGAGACCTGGGAGTGGACGTAACACCTAATCTACCTCCTGAGGCACATATTAATAGGATAACGACAGCAGCGTACTCTAGCAAAAATTAGAACTTCATTCAGAAACCTGAGTAAGGAGGCATTTAGGGCGCTTTACACTGCCTACGTGAGGCCAGTCTTAGAGTATGCCGCCTCATCATGGAGTCCCCATCCGAAGAAGCATATAAGGAAACTGGAAAAGGTTCAGAAGTTTCCAACGCGACTCGTCCCAGAGTTACGAGGGACGGGGTATGAAGAGCACCTGAAGGAACTGTGCCTTACGACACTTGAAAAAAGAAGGAAGAAGGGGGGGGTTATAATAGGAACGTATAAAATACTCAGAGGGATTGACAGAGTGGGCATTGATGAAATGTTCACTCGGAATAGTAACAGAACGAGGGGACATGGGTGGAAGCTAGAAACTCAGATGAGTCACAGAGATGTTAGAGAGTTTTCTTTCAGCGTGAGAGTAGTGGGAAAATGGAATGCACTTCAGGAACAGGTTGTGGAAGCAAATACTATTCATAATTTAAAAACTAGGTATGATAGGGAAATAGGACCGGAGTCATTGCTGTAAACAAACGATGCTCGAAAGACGGGATCCAAGAGTCAATGCTCGATCCTGCAGACACAAATCGGTGTGTACAAATAGGTGAGTACACACACACGTACGTCAACCTCCCCTTTACCTGTTGCAGGTATATTTTTTCCCATTATATGAATTATATATCAGAAACCGATCCGGGTACTGTGTTATACCACAGTATACCACAGCAGAACAAACCGACAAGGTTATATGTAAACCGTAAATATATATATACAAGATCTAGGTTCTAATAGAACAAAAAGAGCGCCACTAAACCATTGCAATACACACACAAATTGGAGGAAACTTAGATTCGCAAAAACATCCCTGGGTAAATACTGGTTCGGGAAAAAAACACATCTGTTGTTGATTTGTGTGAAGCTCATGACTGGGTTAATATTTTAGGCGCGCGGGGGTGGGGGGGAGAGGATGATCATGGGATTATTGTTTCAAGCGTAGGTTAGACACACGTGTACGGTGCCAGGATGGACCGAGACGTCGTCATTCAGTTTATTTTTTCAGGTGTGTGGGAGGGAAGTCTTAATTCTCAGTCTTGTTATGATGAGAATGATGCTCTATGCTGACCTGCTTCTCTGTGCTGACCTGCTGCTCTATGGTGACCTGCTGTTCTGTGCTGACCTGCTGCTCTGTGCTTTCAAGTAGAGCCAGCCTCGAGTGGATCATTGTAGTCCTTCGCAGCAGTTTCAGTAACTCCTGTGTTATTATGTTCTATATTATTTATCTATACCCAAAGACATACTTACAGACACAGAAAAACAATAACGTTAACAGGCAGGCAGGCAAAAAGAGGAGAGAGAGAGAGAGAGAGAGAGAGAGAGAGAGAGAGACTAGAAGGTATCTCTACACCATAAATGGAAGGCAACTACAGTAATGGAGGAGAGAGCGATTTAGGAGCGGATATAATTCAAACCCAATCACCAGAGGCACTCGGCTAGTCCCAGAACTAAGAGGCATGAGTTACGAGGAAAGGCCGCGTGAAATGCACCTCACGACACTGGAAGAGAGAAGAGTAAGGGGAGACATGAACACAACTTAAAACATTCTCAAGAGGAATTGACAGGGTAGATACACATCACTGCATTAGGCAGTGATGTGGTGGAGGCTGACTCCATACACAGTTCCCAATGTAGATATGACAGACCTGGAGAAGCTCAGGAATCTGTACACCAGTAGATTGACGGTTGAGAAGCGGGACCAAAGAGCCAGAGTTCAACCCCCCCCCCCGCAGGCACAACTAGGTAAGTACTTGGTCCAACCACTTGGGCTGGACGGTAGAGCGACGGTCTCGCTTCATGCAGGTCGGCGTTCAATCCCCCGAGTGTCCAAGTGGTTGTTGGGCACCATTCCATTTGGGCCATTCCATACAATCAAAGACTGGTTTCAAACACTCGGAAAAACAGCATTTTTTCTCCATAGGCATAAAGAAAAATCAAAATCAATATTGAACAATAACATTGTTCATCAAGTACATTGTTCAATTGCACTTTTCCTTTATAACAATATTCATCAACGAACAATGCATCTGACTGACTAGTGTTCCTCTTCCAAATTGTTCCTTTAGGCAATGTTCTTTCCATTGAATAACAAACTCAATTTAATAATTTACAACATCAAAAAAAGACCAAAACACAAATATATTTAACATTGCAAGTTACAAACGTAAACAAACTCCATTAACTAAGTAAACTCACGTAAAAGAAAGACTCGCAAATACAAAAAACGCTCTGCGTAATTTCCTGTATTTTAGTGCTGGTTACAGCGGTCATAAAACGCAAAATGCAAAGCTTACTTCTCTGTAAGAATTTAACACCGCGCGGATAACACCCAGTCACACCATGGTGGCCGCTGAGGTTTACGACACGTGATGATTAAGCTTCGTGTATATGTACGCTTAGTAGCAGGGCCGGAGTCGCGCTTAGTAGCAGGGCCGGAGTCGCGCTTAGTAGCAGGGCCGGAGTCGCGCTTAGTAGCAGGGCCGGAGTCGCGCTTAGCAGCAGGGCCGGAGTCGCGCTTAGTGGCAGCCCGGAGTCGCGCTTAGTAGCAGGGCCGGAGTCGCGCTTAGTAGCAGGGCCGGAGTCGCGCTTAGTAGCAGGGCCGGAGTCGCGCTTAGTAGCGGGCCGGAGTCGCGCTTAGTAGCAGGGCCGGAGTCGCGCTTAGTAGCAGGGCCGGAGTCGCGCTTAGTAGCGGGCCGGAGTCGCGCTTAGTAGCGGGCCGGAGTCGCGCTTAGTAGCAGGGCCGGAGTCGCGCTTAGTAGCAGGGCCGGAGTCGCGCTTAGTGGCAGGGCCGGAGTCGCGCTTAGTGGCGGGCCGGAGTCGCGCTTAGTAGCAGGGCCGGAGTCGCGCTTAGTAGCAGGGCCGGAGTCGCGCTTAGTAGCAGGGCCGGAGTCGCGCTTAGTAGCAGGGCCGGAGTCGCGCTTAGTAGCAGGGCCGGAGTCGCGCTTAGTAGCGGGCCGGAGTCGCGCTTAGTAGCGGGCCGGAGTCGCGCTTAGTAGCAGGGCCGGAGTCGCGCTTAGTGGCAGGGCCGGAGTCGCGCTTAGTAGCAGGGCCGGAGTCGCGCTTAGTAGCAGGGCCGGAGTCGCGCTTAGTAGCAGGGCCGGAGTCGCGCTTAGTAGCAGGGCCGGAGTCGCGCTTAGTAGCAGGGCCGGAGTCGCGCTTAGTAGCAGGGCCGGAGTCGCGCTTAGTGGCAGGGCCGGAGTCGCGCTTAGTAGCAGGGCCGGAGTCGCGCTTAGTAGCAGGGCCGGAGTCGCGCTTAGTAGCAGGGCCGGAGTCGCGCTTAGTAGCAGGGCCGGAGTCGCGCTTAGTAGTGGGCCGGAGTCGCGCTTAGTAGCGGGCCGGAGACGTTGTTTGCCTATTCCAGGAGCTTTTCTCCCCCAAAAGGTTGAAGACCCTAAACTCAAGAGACGATTTAGTGATAAAGAAAGCAACTTGTAACATTTTTTTTTTTAAATTACCTGGGGTGAGGTTAGAGGTGTTATCCGCTAGAACTAGTTAAGCACAAGACAAATTCAGAAAAGATTCTGAGGAATACCACTAGACTAGTCCCAGAGGTGAGAGGTATGAGTTACGAGGAAAGGTTTTGGGAATTAAACCTTACGTCCCTGGGACACGAGTTAAAGAAGACATGATCATCACCTACAAAATTCTAAAAAGAATTGATATGGTAGATAAAGACAACCTATTTAATATGAGTGAAACACGAACAAGGGGACACAGGTGGAAATCGAGTACCCAAATGAACAACAGAGACAAGAACTTTTTCAGTGTCAGTAGTTAACAAAAGGAATGTTTTAGGCAGTGATGTGGTGGAGGCTGACTTCATACACAGTTTCAAATATAGACATGATAAGAGCCCAGTAGGCTCAGGAACCTGTACACCAGTTGATAAACTGTTGAGAGGCGGGACCAAAGAGCCGAAGCTCATCCTCCTCAAATACAACTAAACCAGTACAAACACACACACACACACGCACACACACACGCACACACACGCACACACGCACACACACACACACACACACACACACACACACACACACACACACACACACTGAAGTACCCTGAAGCTCATATCAAGAGGATAACAGCAGCAGCATATGCCAGGTTGGCTAACATAAGAACGGCCTTTAGAAACTTGTGTAAGGAATCTTTCAGAACATTATATACCACATATGTCAGACCAATCCTGGAGTATGCGGCTCCAGCATGGAGTCCATATCTAGTCAAGGATAAGACTAAACTGGAAAAGGTTCAAAGGTTTCCCACCAGACTAGTACCCGAGCTGAGAGGTATGAGCTACGAGGAGAGACTATGGGAATTAAACCTCACTTCGTTGGAAGACAGAAGAGTTAGGGGGGACATGATCACCACATTCAAGATTCTCAAGGGAATCGACAGGGTTGACAAAGACAGGCTGTTTAACACAAGGGGCACACGCACTAGGGGACACAGGTGGAAACTGAGTGCCCAAATGAGCCACAGAGATATTAGAAAGAACTTTTTTAGTGTCAGTGGTTGACAAATGGAATGCATTAGGAAGCGATGTGGTGGAGGCTGACTCCATACACAGTTTCAAGTGTAGATATGATAGAGCCCAATAGGCTCAGGAACCTGTACACCTGTTGATTGACGGTTGAGAGGCGGGACCAAAGAGCCAGAGCTCAACCCCCGCAAGCACAACTAGGTGAGTACACTGGGCCGGAATAAGATATGGGATAGACGGATTCTCTGAACGTCTAAACCTAATCATTTCTCTTGAATTCAGAATCAGCCTCGCAACTTCACGAAGATTGACGTCACATCTGACCTTTTGCTGAAAGCGTGACATCCGCCGGAGGATCGAGGGGAGAACTGAGGGCGAGGACCGAGGGCGAGGACCAAGGGGAGAACTGAGGGGACGTAGTGGCGTTAACCATAAGTATGAAGCGTGTGAAGGAAAGAGGAGAGGAAAAAAAGGATCGAATTGAGAGAATACGAGATGATGCCAAGAGGATATCAACGGAGATAAGTATGGTAAGAATACGTTAAAGGGGGTAGAGAGGGGGAGGCTGGGAAAGGGGAAGGCTGGGAAAGGGGAAGGCTGGGAAAGGGGAAGGCTGGGAAAGGGGAAGGCTGGGAAAGGGGAAGGCTGGGAAAGGGGAAGGCTGGGAAAGGGTAAACAGGAGACATCTGTGCCAGGGAGAGGGGACACCTCATGACAATGCCAACTCTCTATGTGACAGGAGTTAAGAAAATGGGGAAACACCGGAGTAGGTGCCCTACGTCAAACGTGTAATTAATTAGTTCCGCACTTCACCATGTCGACGTCAGTGGCGACGTAAATCTGCGTTATTTCTAAGTTTATGTTCAATATAAATTTATTTGATTCTCGTTTTTTAATTTTCTTGTCGATCTCACTTGTGTTTATGGTTCGCTGCCATGAACTGTAGTAAGCTGTTACTGCGGGACCTCATCCCCCACACATGCTGCCTTCACGAGGTCAGATAACACTGTAAATACTAACTAATGTTCCCCACCCCCCCCACACACACACATCCAGGAAGTAGCTCCGTTGCAGCTGTCTAACTCCAGGTACCTATTTACTGCTAGGTAACAGAGGCATCAGGGTGAAAGAAACTTTGCCCATTTGTTTCTGTCTGGTCCGGGAATCGAACCCGGGCCACAGAATTACGAGTCCAGCGCGCTGTCCGCTCAGCTGTTCACCGACTCATGTCTTAAACACAGGGCAGAGTTCTCATCTTAGCTGAACAGTATAAAAGACATTAAGCAGCTAACACACCTCAACATATTTCTTAAGGCCACTTAAGCAACACTAGCAACAGGTTTTTGCAAGGCGTCAATCATGCAACATCCTCAATCCCAAATGTGGAACAATTAATATTTCTCATCCTATCAGTCCTCGGCCTGCTCACCGGCAGACTATACCGACATGCTGCTTCAACACTATGCAAGCACAGTCAGTATACGCAGCCTGCCCCCTGGAGGCACCATTGAAATTGTCTGTACTGAAATAGGTCCGGATGATAACTATGAAATAACTCCCTTTGAAGAAACAAATTCTACTCAAGAAGGTAAGGTTACCTCTCGTGGATAGGATGGCATAACACACACTACCAAGGCAGTATACATGTTGAGCTGCCAAACAGCCCTTTGCTAGAACTGTTTAGCCAAAGTCTAAGGCAGGGTGTCTTACCTGACCGCTGGGCACACGGACTCATAATACCCATACCCAAGCCTGAGGCAGGGGACTCATAATACCCATACCCAAGCCTGAGGCAGGGGACTCATAATACCCATACCCAAGCCTGAGGCAGGGGACTCATAATACCCATACCCAAGCCTGAGGCAGGGGACTCATAATACCCATACCCAAGCCTGAGGCAGGGGACTCAAAATACCCATACCCAAGCCTGAGGCAGGGGACTCAAAATACCCATACCCAAGCCTGAGGCAGGGGACTCATAATACCCATACCCAAGCCTGAGGCAGGGGACTCATAATACCCATACCCAAGCCTGAGGCAGGGGGCTCATAATACCCATACCCAAGCCTGAGGCAGGGGACTCATAATACCCATACCCAAGCCTGAGGCAGGGGACTCATAATACCCATACCCAAGCCTGAGGCAGGGGACTCAAAATACCCATACCCAAGCCTGAGGCAGGGGACTCATAATACCCATACCCAAGCCTGAGGCAGGGGACTCAAAATACCCATACCCAAGCCTGAGGTAGGGGACTCAAAATACCCATACCCAAGCCCAATTCGCAAAAATTCAGACCCCCATCTCTTTGACATCGTCTATGTGTAATGCTCTTCAGAGGCTTGTACTCGACAGACTAATGTCTCAATTTTAACCCCAGACTTGCTGCTAACCTGTATGGTTTCCTTCCCAGAACACACTAACTTGCTTTGCTGAATATTTGATTAAACAGGGCCCAAGCACTCAGGAGGAATTTATTGACCTCCAAAGTGCTTTTGATACAGCAAACAGAGACCTAATCATAGAACAACTAGCCTGCCCACACACTGTTCAGTGTACCCGATAACCGAATCGTTTCATTCCTTTTCAAGGTGATCAAAACTAACAACTCTGTACCCTTTAAATTTAGGTAGTCCACGAGGGTGGAGTGCTTAGCCCAACACTGTTCAGTGTCGTGATACATAAAATTAATGAACGACATGCCTGTCCACACACAACCTGACCAAGCTGTACTCTGTTACTCTGATGACATTTCCATTGTTGCAAATACCCCCCAAACGCTAGGTATGGTTGCAAATACCCCTCAAACGCTAGGTATGGTTGCAAATACCCCTCAAACGCTAGGTATGGTTGCAAATACCCCTCAAACGCTAGGTATGGTTGCAAATACCCCTCAAACACTAGGTATGGTTGCAAATACCCCTCAAACGCTAGGTATGGTTGCAAATACCCCCAAACGCTAGGTATGGTTGCAAATACCCCCAAACGATAGTGAAGCGAGTAGAGTGAAGCTCTACTCGCTTCACTCGCTGATAAAAGCATTGAATGTGATTGATTGATGATTGATGAAGATTAAGCCACCCAAAAGGTGGCACGGGCATGAATAGCCCGTAAGTGGTGGTCCTTTGGAGCCTGGAGATCTGTGGAGGTGCGACTGCACCCTGCGTGACGGGAGATGTCTCCCGTATTGAATGTGGTCGTGTTATCTCTTATAAACTAAATCCCAGAGCTCTTTTTCCACCCAAGAAAGAACTATACTGCCCCTCTAACTTCCAAGGTCAATAACCACAACATTGAAACATGTACACAACACAATTACCATGGAGAAAGTAATGTCAATTACAGTGACATTCTATACAATCTACATTGTCTCTACATAATCTATAATTACCCCTTCTATAACGCCTCTCTCTCTCTGACATTTGAACAGTTATATATATGTATATAATTCTTCTATTAAAATCCATATCCTATGATTGAAATCCCAACAATAGTTAACAATAGCATTATTCGTATAAAATTTGGTTACTGTTATTTGTGTGTGTTCACTAACTCGTTTTATTAATAACCCACGAGCAGTGTCTTTAACATATAAATTGCATATCGTTGCAATTTATCATACAAACACCCTCAAACTCTCATTACCCGAAGGCGTTTATATATATATATATATATATATATATATATATATATATATATATATATATATATATATATATATATATATATATATATATATATATATGCAAACAAGCCTGAATGGTCCCCAGGACTATATACAACTGAAAACTCACACCCCAGAAGTGACTCGAACCCATACTCCCACAACTGGTATGTACAGGGACGCCTTAATCCGCTTGACCATCACGACCGGACATAAGGAAGTGATAGCCGAGGCTATATGAACCACTTCCCCGCCGGCACTCGGATGGTAATCTTGGGCATAGCATTTTATCAAATCACCTCATTCTTTGGGGCACACGTGAGGAACACAAATGCAAACAAGCCTGAATGGTCCCCAGGACTATATACAACTGAAAACTCACACCCCAGAAGTGACTCGAACCCATACTCCCACAACTGGTATGTACAGGGACGCCTTAATCCGCTTGACCATCACGACCGGACATAAGGAAGTGATAGCCGAGGCTATATGAACCACTTCCCCGCCGGCACTCGGATGGTAATCTTGGGCATAGCATTTTATCAAATCACCTCATTCTTTGGGGCACACGTGAGGAACACAAATGCAAACAAGCCTGAATGGTCCCCAGGACTATATACAACTGAAAACTCACACCCCAGAAGTGACTCGAACCCATACTCCCACAACTGGTATGTACAGGGACGCCTTAATCCGCTTGACCATCACGACCGGACATAAGGAAGTGATAGCCGAGGCTATATGAACCACTTCCCCGCCGGCACTCGGATGGTAATCTTGGGCATAGCATTTTATCAAATCACCTCATTCTTTGGGGCACACGTGAGGAACACAAATGCAAACAAGCCTGAATGGTCCCCAGGACTATATACAACTGAAAACTCACACCCCAGAAGTGACTCGAACCCATACTCCCACAACTGGTATGTACAGGGACGCCTTAATCCGCTTGACCATCACGACCGGACATAAGGAAGTGATAGCCGAGGCTATATGAACCACTTCCCCGCCGGCACTCGGATGGTAATCTTGGGCATAGCATTTTATCAAATCACCTCATTCTTTGGGGCACACGTGAGGAACACAAATGCAAACAAGCCTGAATGGTCCCCAGGACTATATACAACTGAAAACTCACACCGAGTGCCGGCGGGGAATTGGTTCATATAGCCTCGGCTATCACTTCCTTATGTCCGGTCGTGATGGTCAAGCGGATTAAGGCGTCCCTGTACATACCAGTTGTGGGAGTATGGGTTCGAGTCACTTCTGGGGTGTGAGTTTTCAGTTGTATATAGTCCTGGGGACCATTCAGGCTTGTTTGCATTTGTGTTCCTCACGTGTGCCCCAAAGAATGAGGTGATTTGATAAAATGCTATGCCCAAGATTACCATCCGAGTGCCGGCGGGGAAGTGGTTCATATAGCCTCGGCTATCACTTCCTTATGTCCGGTCGTGATGGTCAAGCGGATTAAGGCGTCCCTGTACATACCAGTTGTGGGAGTATGGGTTCGAGTCACTTCTGGGGTGTGAGTTTTCAGTTGTATATAGTCCTGGGGACCATTCAGGCTTGTTTGCATTTGTGTTCCTCACGTGTGCCCCAAAGAATGAGGTGATTTGATAAAATGCTATGCCCAAGATTACCATCCGAGTGCCGGCGGGGAAGTGGTTCATATAGCCTCGGCTATCACTTCCTTATGTCCGGTCGTGATGGTCAAGCGGATTAAGGCGTCCCTGTACATACCAGTTGTGGGAGTATGGGTTCGAGTCACTTCTGGGGTGTGAGTTTTCAGTTATATATATATATATATATATATATATATATATATATATATATATATATATATATATATATATATATATATATATATATATATATATATATATATCTGCTAAATCCCCCCCCTCCCCTCGTTTTAACACTCGTCTGCTATTCCCCCTATTTTAGCTAAATATCCCCCCCCCATCCTCGTCCCCCTATTGCTACTTCATAGGGCGCTTATATTTGATTCCATTACTAACATTGCTTAAATATCTTACTTTTCATTCATTACACGTTTGTCGTAATGATTCTTCGCGATGATTTAGGGTAATATTTCCTCAATTGTCAAAGTTCTCCCATCACAGGTGTGTGTGTGTGTGTGTGTGTGTGTGTGTGTGTGTGTGTGTGTGCGTGCGTGTGTGTGTGTGTGTGTGTGTGTGTGTGTGTGTGTGTGTGTGTGTGAAAACGGATGTACAGATGTGGTTTCCCTTCTACAAGCATTCATGCACAACTTACATATGTATCACTTTGTAATTATTAATGCTTGCACACTTTTCACTCTATATACATATATATCACACACACACAATGTTCATACACTTGTATAAACTTGAGTATAATCCCATTACTGATATACTCGAGTATATTTGCGAAGAGGAGAGAGGGTGGGGGGGGGGGGGGTGTCTGTGTTCTATGTGATCCCTTTTGTATCTGATCACCCAAACTAATTCACGGCCATCTCACGTCTTAAAGGACAGATTAAGTCTACATAAACGTCAAAAGAATAGATTCAAGTGGAATTTATACCAGCTTAACCTTCCCTGTCTGTCGCCCTAATGGGAAAACAAAAAGTTACGAGTAACCCAACTTAACATCAGCTTAACTCAAGCTTGCAGACACAGGACACACACTAACTTAACTCATGGGAGTCGTAAGCTTTCCTCCAAGCTTAATAAATGAAGCAGGTGGAAGAGATAACCAAGGTAATTCATAACAGTTATAACTATAGATACTCCTGCACGACACAGTCGAGTTAGTATCATAGCCAGTTATCGAAGAGCGAAGTTATTATTAGTTGAGCAAGAGTGTTTCACATGTGCTTTGGAGTATTGTATGGAGTCGCTGCCTATAGGATTGTTACAGGTGCATGAAGCAACAGTTGTCTT